ACATAACCTTACCTATCGAAGCTTTCAACTGAAGAAAGGGGGCCTCAGGTCTGGTATTGGAAACCTGACATAGTTTTGCAGATTATGGAGAAAACAAACCCCACAGACACTTGAATTCATTCAGCATCAGCCAAACTCAGACTATAGGTACTATCGTCCGTGAAACTCAGACATCATAGACATACGTCAGAAGCACAACAAATAGTCTGCAAGCTGACTTGTAGGCACATACGTGGAATTACAAGAAAGTTCTTTTCATGTGGGAACTTAGCTCGAAATTTGATTCGATATTATGATTGGATTTCACGAATCTCTCATTACACTTTCTGCATATTGAAGGAAACACAGCGTTGATACATCAGACTTGGAAAGCCATCTCACCCCATTTGAAGGTTGTACCCTGTTGGTACCAAATTGAGACTTAAGATTATAGTACTAATCAATACAATTCATTATCTCATAATTTTTCATTCACAGGCGCATGAGGACTAAGTATTTTTGGAGAATTCGAACTGTAAATTTTTATTCTCTAACGGTAAATGAACTGGAGTTGTAATATGCATGCGAGGTTATTTCTCCTCTATTTTTCATCACCTTAATTTGGTGTGTTGATCGGTAGCTAGGGATATTTTCCAGGGATGAATTTATCTCACGCCCACTATTTGAGAATTCTCATTTTCGATTCATTCTTCTCTGATCGGATGCCTTCATCCCCTTTGTGGCAAGCGGCAAACTACCCCGTCTGTCATATAATAGCCGGTTTATATGCGACTTTAGTAAAGAGCGTTGAGGTAGGACACTGATCAAATACTGAAGCAAACAGCCATAAACTCAAACGTCTATCACATCCCGTACCAATACAGTGCAAATAAATATTATTCTAGGAGGGGAGGTGATTACCCCCAAAACCCCCCTCCAAATCGACGCCCTTGTTCTGATGTCAAAACAGTGGTAATAATGAAGTGTGAATGAATGATATCATTCTGAATATATATAAAAGTATTCACAAAATATCACAGATTCCAGAAAAAATATAAAAAATAGCGTGTTTCATAAAAAAATAATTTGTGGTTTTGTCAGGCTTTCAGGAATCGCCCTGTGAGAGAGCTGTGGAGCAGTCTCATTGCGACATCCAAAAATGCATTCTGTGTTTGCCCCATGATAAATAAATATAATGAATGAAAGTATGAGTCATTTCGATATATAACCCTGTACATATACGAACAAAGTACATTTATACTACAAGTACTATTTTCAGAGAAGCTATCTGCTAACTGAACGCATTAAAGCAATATCGAAACCTATCAGATAGTGTGGCTCGAAATAATATTCTTAGATTATATGAAATATCACAGAGAATGAAAATTCCTATTGATAGGTTTGATGATCAAGCCTAAACTAATCTGCAGTGTTCTAGTTATCTAACAATGCTCTCTTTTTCAAACACCCTGTACATATCATCAAGATTGAACGGAATTGTAAGCAGCGTCTTGTGAACAACGGAAACAATAGTCTTACAGTTCACCCAATTTCTTTTCACGACAAAGGTGATTATGACAGAAAATCGCGTTATACGGAGTGTTGAATGAGTTTCGAATTTATTCAGCAATAACAAAACTGAAAATACCAGTGTCATCTAAAAAATGGACATGTTGAACGAAGTCGATATATCAAAATTGAAAGTGAAAGATAGATTAGTTAGGAAGTTATTGGGAAGATATTCTCTGACTATTTTAGGAACGGTAGTAAGAATATTCAGAATGGAATCATCTTTTTCGTAATTTAAGCTGGAGTAAATGAGATTTAGAATAGGGAAAATAACATACTGATCCTTAGGATTCCAGAAAACGTACCACATCTTTCTGAATATATCACAAATATGTTGCATGCCCTAGGAAAAAAAGTAACCATATCTCCTGAAGGGATAAAACCTTTCAGACTAGGTCGCATGTACATGGTGCCTCAAACGAATGCAGACCAGTTAAAATCACAATTCCTGGCGATGGTATGGTTCCTTTCCTCATTGCATTTAATAAACTCATCTAATAAACTCAAGACCCTTGAGGTTCATTGAAAAAACGTTTATGCTATCTGATCAAACTGTGCTACAGCGTGAGTACTATATAAGCATTCTGAACCAGCTCAAGAAACGCAGGAATAATGGAGAAGCTAATTTGGAGATAAAATGTGAAAATGGTCTTCCTACAATCATTTCAAGAAACCAATAGTAACATCCAGCAAAGATAACACATGTCCTGAAGAACTTTCAATTCTTTACCAGAACGTAGAGGCCTGTATTCCAGAACAAGAGAATCTCACCATCAAGTATTAACAACTACCCACAACATCATCGCTGTTACCAAAAGTTGGCTCAGGGACGAACTCTTTCCTGGAAACTATACTGTTTATAGAAAAGACCGTCAATATGGATCGAGAGGTGAAGGTGTCCTACTCGCAGTTGATAACAATATTTGTCACTCGAAACAACACAACTTGGTAGGAGAGTTGATTCATTATGCGTCAAGATACTCACCCATCCTGAGGAGGCAACTCATCTGATCATAATCTACATTCCCCCAAACACAAGTTCCGACGAATACGACGAACTTTTTGATTGTATAGAACATTTCTGAGTCTGCTCTCCTATACAGATATTACAGCAACAGGAATGGTAATAACAGGATACTGGACTTGGTACTATCACCCGGCGAAGTTGATTGTAATGTTGGCTTAGACGATGATCCTTTAGTAGCTATTGATTCTCATCATCCAGCCATAATTATCAACACACCTTTGCTACCCAGTGAGCAAGAAGTGTTCATATCCAAAGAAAAACTATTCGATTTTAGAAAAATCAATTCTCAAAAGTTCGTCAGACTACTTAATGAGGTCAATTGGAATATACTTCTTGCTACCACGGATATAAACGATGCTTGTACGCATTTCAATGAAATAATTCAGAACATCATTAGAGAGTGTACTCCTCTAAAGAAATGTTGTTCACGAAAATATTCAATTTGGTTCTCTGCATCAATAATTCGTCAACTGAAAGTGAAGAATCATTATCTGAAGATGTATAGGCGAAACAGGTACTCATTTTACTCAGAACGTTTGAAACGAGCCAGATGTACAGTCAAAAAAGAAATAGATTTAGCACATGAAATGCTCATCAAAAATTCTGAAAATTTTCTCAAAAAAGATCCAAAAGCTTTCTGGAACTACATCAACAACAACAATCTCGTATACCTGGTCAAATGAAATATGAAAATCAATTCCTCACTACAGCGAAATCAGTCGTGGATGTATTTGCCAAATATTTTGAAAGTGTCTATCTTCCTCCGAGCAATGACGGTGATATTATTAATTCATGCAATAACCTGATGGCGGCAAAAAAAAAGAGAAACAAATCAACATGCGGTCCTGACAATGTTCCAGCCAAGCTCGTGAAAGATCACATTCAACTTCTTGTGTCCCCACTTTCATTCATTTTCAATTCGATCCTAAAGAACAAACAGTTTCCAAATGTATGGAAAATTGCTAGAATCTGTCCCATATTTGAATCTGGAGCGGCATGCGGAATCACGAACTACAGACCCATTGCAATTATATCTGTCTTCTCAAAGTTAATCGAGATAATACTCTCGGAGATTATCGACGAACACGTTCGTCGGTTGATCTCAGAGTTACAGCACGGTTTTGTCGAATGTCGGAGTACTGCAACAAACCTGTGCACATTCACTCAATGTGTTTCAAGTGCACTCGATAGCAAGAAACAGGTTGACGTGATCTACACGGATTTCAGAAAAGCCTTTGATCGTGTTTCTCATCAACTGCTGATGAATACATTATCTTTATTCGGAATATCACAACCGATTCAAGGATTATTGAGTTCATATTTACTGGATAGGCGTTCATTCGTCGAAAACGAGGGCGTGAAATCGTATACCTTCTCTGCGACTTCTGGTATTTCCCAAGGATCGAATTTTGATCCACTACTATTTCTACTATTTATTAATGATGTCTGTTCGTCTATACGATCACACAAATAACTATACGCGGATGATATGAAGATATTCAGAATTATTGATGACGAATCGGATTATGTGATGCACTTAATGTTTGGTGTGCCGTGAATGGATTGAACCTCAATGTCGAAAAGTGCAAGGTTATGACTCAAACTAGAACAAAGAAACCAATAGAATATCTCGTGTTACTCAATTCAAAGATCTAGGAATAATATTCGACAGTAAACTCTTGTTTTCCTTCCATATCGATACCATCGTATCCAGTGTAACTATAATCGTTGGGATTTCTGATGCGCAATTGCAGAGATATTAATTCTTCAGATTCTGTGAAAGTTGTTTACAATTCCCTTGTGAAGAGCAAACTCAGTTATTGCAGTTCTGTGTGGAATCCGAACCTAGACCTACTATTGAAAGAGTGCAAAAGAAATTTCTTAGTTATTGTTTTATAAAAAAGCATGGAGTATATCCTGTACGAGGTTATAACTATGATCAACTACTCAGTGAGTTTGAATTCGAGTCCCCTCACAAAACCAGTAAAATAAGTGATCTCACATTCATTCACAAAATCATCCACAATCTTACTGACTCCAATACCCTTTCGTCTTACATTAATTTCAACGTACCACGTTTGACGTCCAGATCTAATTCAACATTTCATTCGATGTACCAAATTGTTTTCACCACTTCTACTCTCCTATTGACACAATGTGTAGACAAGCTTCAGATTTATGTAATGTTGACATGTTTTTCTTAAACATCAATAAATTTATAAGACATCTACATGTAACATTACCTAATTAACCATTATTCACCTTCGTTATGAATTAAATCATGTACTTCCTGTGAATAGGTTCAACCTGCTGGATGTGATAAATATATAAATGAATGAATGAATAAATGAATTAATGAATGAGCAATTCAACGAATGATAATCAAGCGCAAGAAAATTGAACAGCATGTTGATTTCTCACTCACTTTTCTAGTCTTTTCCGTAATGTTGTGCATCTATCTTCTTGCAAAGGATTATAAAGGTCTTCAACATCCAGAGTTTTGTGCATTCCTTTCTTGAAAATAGGTATTGTGTACCTGAAACCAAAATATTGAAGGAACTATGGAGGAAATATTATATTCATCATATCATTACGATGATAATTACGCAAATAATATACTGAATATAAAAATGTCATCAAAAATGTTAGAACTAACTATACGAGATTTATGTCATTGAAAATTCAGGTCAAATAATTGGCGATGAGTCACATGATAATATATAGAGATACTTGTTCGAGGAAATAAACGATATCATGGATATCATATTATCACAGCCCTCAACCTTCGAGAAAAAACTGTATTTACGAAATTGCCAACAGAGAATTGATTCATAATATCGCATTGATTGATTGAATTGGGATAAGGGGTATAAAAAATATGGTAAGTATTTCCAAAGATACTTTGTTCGTGAGCTCTCCTCGAAATTATCACCCACCTCTTCAGAGAAGTTTGCTGTGCAACTGTTGTAGAGTTCATGATCTCTTCATATCCGTTAACGAATCAGCACCTCACATAGCGATTTTTTGACATGATTTGAATTGCTTGTTGTATCGTAGTTTCTCGACCACCTACCAGTAATTCTGAATTTTGTCAATACATTTTTGACCAAAGCTGTAAGGTTCAGGGCTTCCATGATATCGTACCTCACTGACCTCAGTCGGATAGCATATAGAATGAAACTTAAACCAGATTATCATTGCCAGTTTTCACAACCCACAAGAAACACTCAATACTTCAAGTCTACTACGAAGAATAAAATGAAATCTACATGTCACTCGTATTGCTATTGTTCATCTCTTTTTGTAGATTATTCTGTCAACTGTGACTTTGGAATTTAGTATTCCGTTTGCTGGGATCCACATCTTTTATATCAGATCATCACCTTTTGATTCCACAATCGATTCATATCAGCTGATGTTCACGTTATCAAATAACTAACAATATTTTTCAGATCAATGAGTTATTCAATTTTGTGCAACCCTCACGGAGAACTTGACAGTGAGCAGTAGAGGCACAAAGAACTGATTGAGTCAGGGACCTGATCAGTTTTTATCAATCGGGCTGCGGTGAAGTGAGGTTGATCTCGGAGACCGAGAATTGACGAGTAGTGTATGACGTGTACGAGTGTTGCCTGAGATATATTGGTTCAGTTGGGTCGGCGATTCAATTTTTTATGTATGTGCCTATATTTATTCCGAATAGAGCTTATTAATTTTTTTCCTTTGATCTGTTTGTTCTCATTGACAGATTTCCTCAAATGTATGGATAAATATCGAGATACGAATCCTAAGCTTGAGAAAATCATACTTGCGCTATGCACTCGTGTGGTTGCCAAGCAACATATTTTGTTTTCAGAAAAACAAGATCCTCTGATAATCATCCATAAATGAGTTGTATTCGTTGAGATTATTCCTCTCATCATTTCATGGATAAAACTTCATTCTCATGTCATATTTCCATTCAAAGTCGATGCGTTATGCAACTTACGATACATCTAATGCAGGCTAATCAGGCACACTTCCGAACGGCTTGCTAGCGATATTTGATGCGTCTTGTCTCTAAATGTGCGATGTCACAGTGATGTCACTCAACTCGGAGGTTAGGTTCATATGAAAAATATTTCCCGCGGAGACACCCCCACCCCCTTCTCGAAGGGGTGGTGCGCACAGTTGCATATAAATATTATTTTCTTAAAAACGGTGAGAGACAGAGATTCGCGATTCTCGTCATTCGGAAGGAAATTGAATTTTGCATCTGATAGACATTTTTTGATTGATCGAAAATCTCAATGTCAGCTCCCAATAGAAAATATATGGGAAATATTTGTTCGAATATCGAAAAAGTTTACTTGAAAAAGTTGTTTCTATTTCAATTCTACACATGCTCCCCGAATTTGATCTTTCTATTGCAACTTCTAGATTTTGATTTTTTTTTTAATTTCCCGAAAATTCTGTAATATCTGGAGAACTGTCAATTCCACGAAACTACTTCATACTAGTTGCTTTTCCATGCTACTTACTTTCAATTACTTATTATCACTGATTATGGAGAGAAATATGATTTTCTTCAGAAAATGATAACACCCGCTTCCAAATTCTGTTATGTTTGATGCAAAGTTGATATATCGTCAAGCATTTAGAAACGAAATTAATTTAAACTGATCTTTCCAGTACTGGAGAAATGAAGTCAAATAAATTTCGTTTCTAAATGCTCGATTCAAACATAACAGAATTTTGATGTTATGTTTGCATCAAACATAATAGAATTTTGAAGCGGAGATTATCATTTTCTGAAGAAAATCATATTTTTGTCGATAATTAGTGATAACTAGTAATTGAAAGTTGGTAGCATGATGAAACTACTAGTATGAAGTAGTTTTATCGAATTAACAATTTTTTTAATATTACAGGAATTTCGAAAATTTAAAAAAAATATCGAAATCTAAAAAATGTAATAGAAAGATAAAATCAATTTAAACATTTTCATTGTAATAAAAACAATCTAAAAGCATTAAAATTGACTCATCAACTCCGACACTACATAGAACGATCTGAGAACGTAAAAATTAACTCTGGAAATTGAATAAAAAAAAATATAAAATGAGGTACTACAGCGCTAATTGCAGCATTCTTTACAGGTGGATAATTGTGTACATTTCAATTTCCCCAGGAAACATTTGCAATACAAAGTTTATCTAAAAGTTATCAATTCGATATACTTCTTGGAAAAACTCATGAAAATTGTCCTGGTAAACACGGAGAGGATCCTCATACATGAAATTATCGATTAGCTCTTGTGCGATTTATCTAAATTGCCCATTGTTGTTTAGATTCTTTTTTTTGTATCAATGTTATTTTATACAAAATATGTGTACATAATTATAAAAAGGTAGAGATTAGCGATAATACTTGTTTCTTCCTATTGTATTTCATTCATTTTTCTGTCTAAGAAATGTTGTTGTTTGTGTTGTGATAGTTGAATGTATTTCATATCAATGGCACTATATGAATCATAATATTGTCACGAAAGGATATTTTCCAAATTATTCTCAAATATTACTACTACTATTATTATTATTTCACTGTTCTAATTTATCCTTTTTTATTGAGTATCAACCCTCAGCAAATCCCAACTAGCAAAGGCACTAAGTCACATTCGTGACAATATGTGAGCATCCAATAGAACCTAACTGGTTTAAGCTCATTGTGCTTCACATAACCTACAAATTGAGCCTTGATTCATGATATTTAGGATATGACTATCAGCATTAGCGTATCATATTAAATATATTTTTTTTTTCACGTTGTCCACATCCGAAATAATTGTATCTCAGAGCAAATTCTAGTGGATGGACATAACCACAAACAATCACACTTAGTGATTCGTGGTGTCATAGTTTATTTTCAGATATTTGTATGTAGTTTTTTTCGTGTTGTTAAAGGAAGAAGGAAAATAAACAAATTTATTATTATTATTATTATATACCAAGGCTCCCGTTCGTTTTGGTCCCTTGCTAAAGCGGTCGGAAGAAATTTCACTAATAGTTCATTTCCACCACTGTCCAAATCCGACGGCACATTAGCAACAACATCGCAGGAGAAAGCAAATATTTTTGCAGAGATTTTCGCAGCAAACTCTACTTTAGATTCCCAAGGAAAACTGCCGCCAGACATTCCACCCGTTGAGAGTCGAATGCCCGAAATCGTCTTCCGCCAACGCACTATCAGACGAATTTTGCTTGGTCTCAAGACGAACAAGGCTAACGGTCCTGATGGAATTCCACCCATTATCCTCAAGAAATGTGCACCAGAATTAACACCGATTCTCTGCAAGTTGTTTACCATCTCGTACAGGTCGGGTATTTTTCCATCATGCTGGAAGACAGCTAGAGTCCAACCAATCCCCAAAAAAGGGAACAAGAACCTGCCAAACAACTACAGGCCCATTGCCCTTTTATCAGTAATCTCCAAAGTGATGGAGAAAGCCATCAATATTGAGCTTATCAAATATCTAGAGAGCTCAGGAATCATCAATGATAGACAATACGGCTTTCGCCACCGAAGATCTACTGGAGATCTACTTGCCTACGTCACCCATTTATGGCAATCTTCAATAGAAAAACACGGGGAATCTCTAGCTGTCGCGTTGGACATATCGAAAGCATTCGACCGTGTTTGGCACGAAGGACTCCTCCACAAACTACCACCATACGGCTTACCACCTCAGCTATGCCATCTCTTATCGAGTTTTCTTTCAGGCAGATCGCTTCACGTGGTGGTGGACGGTGTATCGTCTGATACCATTGGCATCAATTCCGGCGTTCCACAAGGATCAATTTTGGCACCAACATTATTCCTGCTTCATATCAATGATCTGTTGGGAGTAACAACTTGCCCCATCCACAGCTTTGCAGATGATAGTACCCTCCATACTGCGTTCTCTTCCAGAATTCCCATTTCTTCCCAGGAAACTAAGAACTCACGGCGCAGGCAGGTCAATGCTGTCAATGAAGATCTTGCTGAAATCACAGCCTGGGGAACAAACAACCTAGTTGAATTCAACGCCACCAAAACTCAAGCCTGCATTTTCTCTAGAAAGGCTGAACTCAGTATGCCTGATATTGTAATGTCTGGCTCCACCATCCCCACCAAGCCCACCATATCTATGCTCGGTATTTCCATCAGCAACACTCTTTCATGGGATAATCATGTCAGATCCATCGCAAAAGCTGCTTCACAAAAACTCGGATTCTTGTTCCGTGCGAAAAGCTACTTTACACCTCAACAGCTTCTCATGATCTACAAAGCACAGATACGGCCTGTTCTAGAATACTGTTCCCACATATGGGGTTCAGCACCAAAACATACGCTGATGCTCTTAGATTCCATCCAGAGAAGAGCCATTCGCCTGGTGGGTGACGCCACACTCACTCACTCTTTGACATCATTGGAACACCGTAGAAAGGTCGGCGACCTTTCACTTTTCTATCGATACTTCCACGGGAAATGTTCTTCGGAAATCTCTGCTATCATCCC